AATTTATTTAATCCAAATATAAATTATTTAAAATTTATTTAGAAAATAAATATTTATTTGGCTCTGAGAAAAAAAATATCATTTCTCATGGTGAAAAATAAAAAGTTTTTTTTATAAAATTATTGTTAAAAAATAGAATTACAAAGTCTATATATATAATATAGTAATATTGACTTCAAAGTGACCACGTCGGAAGTTGAAATGTTGCATTAGCGAGAACTTGATAAAGAACAGGAAGTGGGCTAATCGAGTTAAAGAAAATCAACCTGGAAGATCTGAGTGTCGTCGAAGGATCGCCAAGGATGAAGGGTATGAGTTACGTAACCGAAATTAAATAGAATTTCGTTTCCAAGTTCGAACTTAAGTAATTACTCCATTCGAAATTTATATACATATATATATATATATATATATATATATATATATATATATATATATATATAGGTCTTCGAGTTCTCCTGGAATTTTCGATCAAAGTGAATTCATCGGGCAATATAGATGAAAAACTAATTTTAAAAATTACTCAGTAGCAAGAGAAAAATCTAACTTTGAAATAAAATATCCAACTGGAATATTATGCTATTTTTCTTTAAATTATAAAAATAAACTATATTTAATTTTTTTTTGCTCGAACAATTAAATTGTTAAAAAGGCGCGAAATTAATATTGTAAAACTCAAAAAAAATGCACAATGAAGAAATAAAATCTTTATCTTTAGTTTTTAATTAAACTAATGTAATAAAATTAATAATTAATAATTATTCCAATTATTTGAATTAAATATTTAAAGTTTTTAAAGTATCCGCTAAATATGTAATGTAATCTAATAAATTTTGTCTTTATAATTTATTGAAAATTAAATTTGACATTTTCAAATTAACATTTCAATATTCATGATTTAAAAATACTATTTTCCATCTGTTTGCCCTGTGAGTATAATTTTTCCTCTTTTAGTAAAAAACGAAAACAAAGTAAAGATATTAGAAAAGAATATTCATAACACTGTTGAAAGATAAAAAAAAAAAAAATAAAAAATACATAAAAAAAAAGATAAAGAATACAGAAACAAAGAGTAAACATTAAAAAAGAGAATGGTAAAAAAAAACCAAAGAAATGTAAGAAAATTGAGGAAAAAAACGAAAAGTAGATACTATATAGTATACATAAATAGAATGGGACAACAGAATACCAGAATATCCAGAAAAAAAGTAATATCCGTTTAAGCGATTTTCATTTATTTTTATGCGATTTTTCCTTTACTATATATATCAAAAGAAGCTCCTTTCCATTTGAGAGGATATTATACTTTAATAGAACATAACCTCTTCGAAAATTGTCTCATTACTTTCCAAAAAAAAGAGAGCATTTATTTGAAATATTTCTCAAAATTCCTTCAATATGATCGAATATTCTTAATGGGAGAGGAAAACGCTTTATGATTTTTAAAAATTATTAGATAATTATATAAATTATATAAAAATATTTATAAAATAATTCTAATTATATATATATACCTACAGGGTGATTTTTATGTTCCGGACCTTAAATTTTTTTGTTTAAAAAACGAAAACAATGAGATTAAAAAAAAATTGTTAGGAAGTCCGGAACATAAAAATCACCCTATATATAAATTACATAAATTATATAAATAAGTAGAAATTATATCAATAGAAATAAAGAGATATTTTTAAATAATTACTATACAGTAAAAATATTACTATAAATAAATGAATAAATTTTGACACTCACCAAAAATTAGTTATTTTTTATAAGTAATTCAAAAGAGAGTAAAAAAAAAGAAGAAGAAAAAAAAACAAAACAGAGATAAATTAAACAAGAACAATATAATGAAAGAAAAGAAAAAAAAATAAAGGAAGTATTTGAAAAGCAATCAGAGTATTTGCGCAAACAATTATTGGTAAACAACTTCATGGAAGACAGGAAACAATAGTTATGTAATTAGAGTATTTCCGAACTAGATCGAAATGCAGATAACGAATGAAGAAAGTTGCAGGCATGCAATTCATGTAATTAAAACGTTCTAGAAACCTTATTATCATCATCAATGAATATTATTGAATTATTTGCATACCCATATAAGCTTGTATGCAAATTATTATTATTATTATCATCAAACAATAATTATAAAAATAATAAATAAAAAATTAGTTATTTTATAATTAATTATTTATTAATTAATAAAAATTAATAAACAAAAAATTTATTTATTTTTAGTATACAAAATAAATGAAAAATAATAAATAACAATAATAATAAAAAAAATTGAATTTGTATAATAATGTAATTATTATTATTGTTATAAATAATAATAATTATTGTGGATTAATTTTTACGAGTCCTTTAAACGGGAAACAGGTGTTAAATATTTTTAAATAATATAATATAATAATAATATAATCCTTAAATAAAAAAATTTCTTTAAAAATTTTAAACACCTGTTTTCCATTTAAAGACCTCGTAAAAATTAATCAACAATTTAATAAATGACGGATGTAAAATTAATTCAACAATAATAATTATTATTTTTAAATACCACCGAATGATAAATTCAAGTTATATATTATTACACCGTCCGACACAATTTTTGACCCACAAAAAAATTTAATATTTTCGGAAACTAGGACCCAAAAAAAAAAATACCCGTATCTGGCCGTTTTGCTAAATCAAGTCGTTTGTGGTTTTTAGGAGTGAAAACAACCCCTAATTGAAAAGTGACAAGATATCTTTTAAAAATTATTAATATTTTATAAAACTTGATATCTGGGGGTTTTCGGGGTCACTGATTATTAATCTGATGTCAGATTTTCAAAATTCAAAATGGCGGATCCAATATAGCGATCAAATTTTTAAAAAGGTATTAATTTTTTATTTTATATCTGCCATTTTGAATTTTGAAAATTTAACATCAGATTCGTCATCAGCGACACAAAAATCCCCTAGATACCAAGGTTTAAAAAAAATTTAATAACTTTTGAAAATTTTGACCGCCATATTGAATCCGCCATTTTGAATTATGAAAATCTGACATCAGATTAATAATCAGCGACCCCGAAAACCCCCAGATACCAAGTTTTATAAAATATTAATAATTTTTAAAAGATATCTTGTCACTTTTTATTTAGGGGTTGTTTTCACTCCTAAAAACCACAAACGACTTGATCTAACAAAACGACCAGACACAAGTATTTTTTTTTGGGTCCTAGTTTCCAAAAATGTTGGATTTTTTTGTGGGTAAAAAAAAAGTTGAATTTTGTCGGACGGTGTTATTATTATTATTATTATTATTATTATTATAAATAATGGTAATAAATAATGGTAAATAATAATCTAAATAAAAATAATAATTTTGATAAAAAATTCTGAAATATTGTTAAATTTTTTAGAAACGCGATAAATAGATTAAAAAAAAAGAATAGCAATTCACGAATACGAATTCATTGAAAAGTTAATAAAGTCACTGCGTCAAAGTAAAAAATTTATCAAAAGGTACTTGGTATATCGGAAAATTGTGTAAGCCACTTTTTTTTTATCAACGTCCCTAATTATTCATTTTGAAAAGAATTTCAATTTACAGTCGAATGCATTTGAGGAAAAATATAATTTTTTTTCTACAATTTATATCACATTCAGACTTGATTGTTCGACAGGTACAAATGCATTGTACGTAATTTATATATATATATATATATACATACATATATGTATATATAAATGTATCTGCTATAGAAATTTTTTTCCTTCTGGAAATTGGTCCTCGAGATACGATTGTGTATTTGAATGATTCGCGAATCGACAGCTGTCAGTCAAAGCATAGTTGTCTATTCGTGAACGATGGTTTTGGGATAAGAGATTTTCTATGTGTTCAATTTTTTTTTCGTTTTTTTTTTTTGCAAAATAAATGTTGCGAAAGAAAAATATAGAGCAAAAGAAAAAAGATTGTTCGTAAATTGGAAATCGGGGAACGTTTCCCCTGAATATTTTGGATGAAAAAATAAAACAAAGAATTTTTTTTTCAGAGAGAAGTGTAATATATCAAGAAACTCGTGATTGGAACAGTGAAACATCAATTAAAATATGTCAAAAAAAATAAAAAATAAATTGGTTCTACAATTTTTTTTCCGTTGAACAAAAATTAAGTTTTTATTTGATAAAATAGAAATTGGTAAAAGGCAATTGATAAAATAAAAAAATATTAAATGTTTTTTTTTTAAAAACACGATTCTCATATAAAAATGGTTTTATTTTTGAAATTGAAAATATTATTTACTACTTTGTGTAAATTTTGTTTTTTTTTTTTTTCTTTGTTTCACATCTTGTGACACTCTTGAGTTTATACCCTTGGAAAGTCGTTACTGTGAAAATGAAGAGCTACGTTGCTTGTAAAGTTTATCTATATGTCACGCACGTTGTAAAAAAATCGGTAGAAATTTGCAATAAAACAACGTCAATAAAAATGGATGTCCCGTTACATAGCTATAACGTAAATTTGTAGGAAGAAAGAAAAAAAAAATTCCATATTTACATGTGGTAAGTGTGTACTTTCAAAATCCGATAAATCGTAAAAAAAAAAGAAATATATTTATTTATATCCATCGCTTTCTATCGTAAAAAATAATATCGTTAAGTATTTCACCCCTAAAAATATATTGGTAGTACTAAAAAATATATTTTCCTTTAGAAATTTTTTTTTTGCAAAAAATATTCTATATTTCGTATTCAAAAAAGTAAAAAAATCAAGAAAGTTAAAAGAAATGCGATGATTATTTAATATCACAAAGAGGGAAAAAAAAATTTAGGCACTGTAACGCTCGATACGATCCTGGAGAACACGTGTTGTTATCACCACACACACATATACACATACACTCGAAAACACGACCAATCAAATGACATTCATTCACACATTTTTTAAAAACTTCATTATCACTTTTTTTTTTTTTTTTTTTTTCTTTTCACTGATATTAATCCAATTTGTTTACTTTCGAAGTATTTTCGATCCACAAATGAGAACGTCGAGGTATTTTTTGTTTTTAAACATTTTTAAATGCATTTTTTATGCAATTTTTTAACACTCGAGTTTTTTTTTTTTTTTTTAAATTTTTTTTTATCTCGTCTCTTGTCGTTGAATTGCCGTCTGCCTTTGGGGGTATCGTTTCGGCTGACGGCGAATGTCAGCCGACGTCGACGCGCGTCTCATAAACAAGATCGGTCGGCATTTGGAAGCGCGCGCCTAAGTTTTGAGAGGAGTACAAGTTTGGAAAAACAGGTGCTGCCACTGTGCGGCCACTCGTTGAACTAAACGAAGCGCAAAACCACCCCTTATGAAAGGGAACATTCTCGCGCAACTCAATTCGCGACTCCTCCACGAGTCTTATGGTGGGGGTTTTGGTATCCTTACCCTCTCTCGCGACTCTGTTCACTCGGCTAAATAAATACTGAATAAATAGCCAAAACTCCCTCCCTCCAACTCTTACCCCACCCTCACCCCCTCCTCATCCTCCGCCGCCCCCCCTCTTTCTCATCCTTCGTTTACTATCATCCAACTCCTCACCAGACCAATCGTCTCACTCTTCACCATCAACCCTCTACTTTGGGCTAATGTTCGACACTCCAGTGAGTACAGACTCTCACATTTCTCCCCCCCCCCACACACACTATATATTTCCTCTTTCACCCTCCCCCCTCCCAGCCACCTTTCGAAGAAGTTTCTTTTCGCGCACAGATTATGATTTTTCATCAGTATTTTTACCAATTTTTCAGATGACTTCTTGTAAAGTTAAATCAACAAACTTTTTTCTATACGTTTAACTTATTTTTGAAAATTTTTTTTAACATTTTCCTAAATTTAGTAATAAGATTTATAATACGAGGCTCATTTTGGGTAGCCTAATTTTATTACGTAAAAATAGAATTTAAAATTTTTAAAATTTTATTAAACATAATTAATTTTTAGATGAATTTAAAAATTTTTCGAATTATAACAAAATTTCTTTTAAAACTAATTTTTAAGAACGAAATAATAATAATTTTTTAAATTTATGAAAAATAAATATAATAAATTATTTAATAAATAATACATGAAATAATAATTCACGGAAATGCAAATCTCCAAAAAAAAAAAAATTAATTAAGACTGAAAAAATTATTTTCTAATTTGAAGAATATCTTCTTGGCGATTATTCAAGAATATTTCCCATGCATTTTATTCTTAAAGTTAGAATTATTTTATTTATATTTATTTTCTTTTGTCTGTAGAATATTTCTCAAATTAAGAATTGCTTCGTACTTCAAGAATATTATATTCTAATTTCAAGAAGAAAATGCATGCTAGCTACGGAAATTTAAAAAAAAAATGCTGTAGAACAGTAGAAAAGTTTTATCCTATGGAATTGTATCAGAAAAATAAATTTTGTACGTTTAAAATATTTGAAAAATAAAAATATAAAAAATTACAGACATAGAAATCTACCTTACCGACTTATGGCAAGAAAATTTTTTGAAAAATAAAAATATAAAAAATTACCGACATAGAAATCTACCTTACCGACTGATAATAAAAGAGATTTTTGAAAAATGAAAATATAAAAATTACCGACATATGAATCTACCTTACCGACTGATGGTAAAGAATTTCTTTTGGCAATATTACCAACATTTTAAAAACTCTTTTACTATGAGTCGGTAAGATAGATTTATATGGCGGTAATTTTCATATTTCCATTTTTCAAAAATCTCTTTTACCATCAGTCGGTAAGGTAGACTTCTATGTCGGTAATTTTTATATTTTCATTTTAAAAAAATCTCTTTTACCATCAGTCGGTAGGGTAGATTTATATGTCAGTAATTTTTTATATTTTTATTTTTCAAAAAATTTCTTTGCTATCAGTCGGTAACGTAGATTTCTAGGTCGGTAATTTTGTATATTTTTATTTTTAAAAATTTTTTACCATCTTTTTAATTTTTTAACCATCTCTATATATCGAATAAAAATTTGGACAAATTAAAATTCGATGAATTGAAAATTCTAGCATTTAAAAATTCGAAACCACTTACGAGTCTATTAAATGAGATTTCTGATAAATTAAAATTCGGTTAAATAAAATAAAATAAATAAATAAATTAAATAAAAATTAAATTCTTTTAAATAAAAATTAAATCCTTTTAAATAAAAATTAAATCCTTTTAAATAAAAAGTTATGTAAAAAGAAAATTTACAAATAAAAATTATGCAAAATAAAAATTTTACAAAATAAAAAATTTTGGTATGAAAAAATTTTGTAAAGTAAAAATTCGTTTTGAAATTAATGTTTTTTAAATACCAATTCGAAAAATGAAAATTCGTCAAAATGATTTTTATGAGTTAATCATGCGTTTTAAAAATCGACAATTGAAGTAAAGGAAATGAACAATTCATCATCTGTGTATTACAGTTTTGAATTGTAGGACAATATTTTTAACCCCTGGAGCTTTTTATTTTTTAATCGTGTACAAATGTACTTGCACATATTGAACATTGAAGGATCTTCTAGATTTTTTTTTTTTTTTTCATTAAATCACAAAACGTGATCAACGATAAACTAATTTTACACAGCAATACCAATGGATTGACGACGCCAGCACACGATTTAATCCATCAGCAAACATATTTTTTTTTCTTTTTTTTAAATTTGACATTTTCCTCTCTCTTATATATATATATGTATATATATATATATATAGTTTTTTCACTCACGAAAACGAAATTCCGTGTTTTTCAACGAATGCGCCATGCAAAATATTTACGAATCCCATGACATGCATTTCGTTTAAGCGGAACCTAGGTCAAAGGATAAGAGGTTCTTCACAAATGAAAATAGAACATTTTTCAAAAAAACACAAAAATATATATAGACGAATATACTGCAAAACATATATGAAGATTGGCATTTTATGATTCTTTTCAGAGCTTCGTATAAAAAAAAACTAGTATCAAAACCGAAACAATATTTTATTAATATTAAATATTAAAAAAATATTTTATTTTTCTAATTGAAAAAATTTTCAATTCGAAAAAATTTTTTAAAAATCTGTTACTTGATTATTATTTACTGAATATTTATTTGAATCGGACAAATTTTGTTTGGATCAAAGAAATATTTATTTGAATCAAACAAATTTTATTCGGCTCAAAGAAATTTTATTTGAAATAACTAAAAAATTACAGAAATTATTGATATTCGAATACAGTTTGTTTGATTCAAATAAAAATTTTTTGGTTCGGATAAAAATTATTTGATTCAAAAAAATATTTATTTTACAATACAAAAGTAAACCGATTTTTTTTCAATTAAATAAATTTTTTTTCAGCGTCAATCTATTTAATTCAAAAACTAGTTATAAGGAAATTTCTTCATTATAATTAAGAAATTTATTAATTACAATTGTCTGACACAATAACTTCATTTCTATCTAAAAAAAAAATTCTGAGCGAACAATTTATTTCTTCTATTTAGAAACGAGATTTTTTAAAAATGTTTTTACATTAAATTTACTTAATTACATTAACAATATAACGGAATATTTGATCTAGATTTTCGAATAGAATTTCTTATCTGATTGTTATACTATTATTAGTGGTTTATTATTGTATTATTATTCCCATATGTAGTAATTATCAAAGTGTATGTAGGTAGTAATTTATTAATAATAAGTAAATCATGAATTTTTCATTTCCTTCACTCGAATCGTATTATGTTTAATAAAATATTGTTCGTTATTTATTTTTTATTATAAAAAAATGAGGTAAAAATAAAAAAAAAAAACAAAATAATAAATAAATAATAAACAAAAATAATTATATTTTTGAAAAAAATTACTAATATTTAATCATTTCTACAAATTATAAAAAAATAAAAATTTTAGCAATTTTTATTTATTAAATAATTATTGAATAAAAAAAATCAATTTCTATTAACGCGTTTTTTTTTTAAAAATCCCGTTTTTGAAAACAAATTTTGTCAATGTTAATAAAATTCGTAATAGGTTTAGAAAAAATAAAAATCTACATGGAAAAAAATTTTTATCTGGAAAAGAAAAATTTCTTTCTCTAGAATAGCAAAAACTTTCGATATTTTAATGAAACATTTCTCTGTTCCGATGAAACTTATCGCTGTTCCAGGTGAAGATTTATTTCCGTGTAATAATTTTAATTCTATCATATTCTCGAATATTTTTTTTTTAGTTAAGGCAAAAAAAAAAATTTGTCAAAGAATAATAATTAATTAATAATATTCGTAATAGAGTTTAGAAAAAAAAACCTAATAACTTTCATTCTATCACATTCTCGAATATATATATATATTTTTTTTGTTGTAAAGGCAAGAAGAAAATCCATTGGGTTTCATGAAGGCTGACTAAAGCAAAACTGTATTCACTGAATTGAAATGAGTCTTGCCTGGCATGTTGCACTTTACGATCAGACATTATTCTGTTTCACCTGACGTGAATTATTTCTCACTTTAACATCTGTTCAGCTTTGGCGATTCGACTAAAGCAGATAAAACCATCCACTCTTGAAACTTTTTTACAAGTCCAATTATATTATTTTTTGTTTGCATTTTTTTTTCCTTTTTTTTTTAATGCACTATATTGCCTCAAAAAAAAGTAACTTCCCACTAGCTAACTTTTTCAAAAGGTGACTCTTTTTTTTCCCAGTAATTTTCATATATCACAGGAAAAATATAAATCTGTGACCATCAAAAAGAATTTTGCCATATTCCTTCATGTACGCCATGCGTGAGAAAACTTCAATAAATTTTTAATTCAAAAAAATATGAAATACGAGAATATAAAACTAATTAATTGCATAATAAAAAAAAATATATATATGTTTTAATTTAAAAAAAAAAATAAAAAAATTTTTTCATTCCAATTTTCAAATATATAAATTTTCTTTCAAAAGATTTCTCTATCTCTCGAATTAATGTCGTGTATAAATGTTGTCTTTGTGCCAATATAATTATCTTTATTTTTCCAGGTCTTTGATTTCTTTGAATTGATTTTTCTCGTCACTACTTTTAGTGAAAAGGAAAAATCAAGGAAAGTTTCCATTGAGGGGTGAACAGCTCTTCCGGTTGGTGAAGGCTGTGCAAGACGTTGGGAAATCATTGAAGAATACTGTGCTAACTTTACCCGACGGAAATCTTAGAAAAGCCGTAAACGAGTCCCCCATAAAAAGTTTTTACTCGGTCAAAAAGTCTTCAAAAGATAAAATGTCATTTGCTCAAAAAAGTTCTTCGGATTTTCATTATATATCTTTTATATATGAAAAATTTAATTAAATAACACAAAAAAAAAAGTTAACGAACAAAAAAAAAATCAATCAAAACACAAACTGAGGGCATATTAAAATTTTCCTTACAAAAAG